TATGCAGTGTATAGATATACTTTTATGTATAACTTTTTATTATAAAACTATATTTATTTGATCATTAGTATACACATGTTTAGCTTATTAAGATCAATGTTTACTTCATAGATATAAATGTCTGTGGTTCTAATCCCACCACCTTTTTTAATAAGAAAAAAAAAATTTCCTTTTAAATACGCCTGGTCATATATTTGCTTTGCAACCATTTATCTTTTCTTTTTTGTATTTAAAAATTTTTTCTGTTATATGTTCTCTTCACATTCAGATTTCTTATACCATTTAAGCCTCTCAGTGTATTTTTTAAGTAAGGTGTACACACATATATACATAGTTTTTAAGCTTTAATTAGGCTATGCCGCCTACACATTTTTCACTTACCCTTAATTGTTTCATATTACATTTTTATTCCTGTACGCTTTTTATCCCGAATCTTTTAGCGCTTTGAAATTTTAGATACCTGTTGCTTTTTAACATTTGGCTCTGTGCGCTTAGTTCTACCTGCCCCCTCCTTTGGGTCTAAATATACATAAACAATTATTAACAATAATTATTAATAATTGATATACAACTATTTATAATAATTATTAATAATTATTTAATATTTTTCCAATAACAAAGTAGGCCTAAAGGGAAGGAGTAGGTAAAAAAAAACAAAAAACACAGACATGTGTATGAAGTACAGGCCTTGTTTTAAATAAAAAATGCTTTTTTATTAAAATAAAAGTAGCGAGTAACAAAAAAATTACGTTAATTTATTTACTTTATTTATTAAAAGTTTATTATTTTATTAACGATTTTGTTGTGAAAGCAAAAATTATTTTTCAAAACATTATTTATTAAAATTATATTGCTGTACATATCGTTTATTAAAAATAATCACTGCGATTTAACTTGCATTATATATATAAAACAGGTTTAACTTATGTTTTGTGCAAATTCTCAATGCAGCTGTTTATTTAAAATTTAATTATGAGTAAAAAAAAATGTTTAGGAAGGAAAACCAAAAAAAAAAGAATAGCAATAAAAATGAGCTAACTTTTTTAAAGAACAAATAAAATTTAAATATTGAATAATATTTAGTAATATTTTTAAATAAATTTGAGAGAAGTTAAACCCAAGCATTAACTTTAATTTTATTAAACTTAAATATATCTTTTAAATCAAAATTAAATTATATATTTTTTAAATCAAAATTAAATTATATATATTTTTTTACAGAATAAAATTATACATTTTTATTAAATTAGTTTTAAATAATATAATTTTTATCAGAATTAAATTTTATTATCTTTGCTTTAAACTTAAAGTAAAAGTGTTTTTCAAGAGAAAAAATCAATCACTACAATAAAATAAAAATAAAAAAAAATTTTATTTTATTTGAGTTCTTTTCATTAGTAAATAGCGCTTATATCTAGCATAATTGTCATTAAAACTTTTGTAACAAATATTTTTACATAAACATTCAAAAGTTAATGTGATTTTTTTAAAAATTAATTACTTCTTTTATCTTACCGATTATTGAATAAAAGTTGAAAAATGATAAAAAGTCACTTAACCAAATCGCTTAATGCTTACGTAAAATTGATGAAGTAAACACCATATCCAAATATAAATACATAATTTTATAAATTATATAATAAAAAAAGTTATACATAAGAGTATACGCATGTATTACATAGTTGTATTTAATATAGGACAATATATACACATGTTACATTAAAGTTATACAAATATATTTTACAAACAAATAGCAATTTATATTTTTGCTTCCTCTTTAATAAAAAAAACAAACAAATATAATATAGGAAAATAAAAAAACAAATAAAATACAGTTTTTTTAATGTCGACTTAAAACTGTTTATTTTTTAATTTGCCTTATCCAATTACGTTGCTGAAAATAACAACTACCCTAAATTAAAAAAAAAAAAAAAACAGTACACAAATTATTTAAATTTTTAAATTTTTTTCATTAAATTATTTAAATTATTAATTTTATCTAAATTTATTTTAATTTCCTATTTTGTTATTCTTTATATAATAAAGTTTTTGTTTAAAATAAAATACTCATGTCTGGACATACAAGTTGTAAAACCACACGCCTCGTTGTAATCATCCTTTTATTTCTCTTTTCTATAAATACTATAATAGGCACTGTTCTAAAGAGCTAGCATCTATTGTGCTATCTACTAAAATTCATTCTCATATTACTCATTTATTCTTTTACTGTGACTGTTCCTAAGTGCTCTAAAAATTCTCATTTGTCTAGTTTTTTTTTTGAACATTTGTTCTTTGGAATTCGCTCTTTTTATCTTGTTTTCCTGATTCAAATAATTTGCAATTTTTTAAGTTGTCTGTAAATAGTTATATTGATTTATAAACTTTATTTTTTCTTGTCCAGTAACTTCCAACAATAATAGTTGTTTGCAGCTTTGTTGGAAGTGAAGATATTTAAAAAAAAAGTGCTACCCACTCAGTATAAGGCTAAAAACAATAACACTAGCAACGTCATACAAAGAAAAATTAAATAAATGTTATCAGAAATAAAATCGAATCAAGTATAAGTCTTGAGAATACCATGAATTGAGAGCAAAAAACAAAATTTGAGTATGGGGGCGCAATTTAATAGAATATAAACAAATATTTTATACACATAAAATTTCTAATCTTTATACTTTGACATTAGATAATCTAATAAGCACTGTGATGTCTGTAATCTAATAAGCACTGAAATAGCCTGCTGTCAGGGTATTCAGTACATAAATTGACTATCTTATAGCTTGCTGCCACAATCGAGTGCTGGTATATCAACTGAGGGTTTGGTCAGCAATCTTTCCGTTAATTTTTTTATTTTTTTGTCTTTATAAAAATATAGGTATGCTAAAAGCAGCCTTCAGAATAAGAAAAATTGAGGTCAACAATATTTTACTAACCTCTTTATAAACCATGGGCTATTCTAAACTGTTTTCGACAGCGCTGACCATATTTGGGCACCAATTTAAACGCCGTTTAAATTCAAAATTAAGGACTTTTTTTTTGACAAATATTGTTCTTTTCGCAAAAAAAAATGCCTACATTCAGCATATATATATATATATATATATATATATATATATATATATATATATATATATATATATATATATATATATATATATATATATATATATATATATATATATTATATATATATATATATATACATATATATATATATATATATATATATATATATATATATATATATATATATATATATACATATATATATACATATATATATATATATATATATATATATATATATATACATATATATATATATACTTACATTATATATACATATATATGCATATATATATATATGTATATATATATATATATATATATATATATATATATATATATATATATATATATATATATATATATATATACATATATATATAAGGGATGCAGAGTCCCAAGAGAACTCCGGTTTCATAACTTTATTTTTTCATGGTCTCTGGTGTCCAGAAGCTCTGAACATTTTGGTTGGTTAATAATCTGCTATAAGAAAAAAAACTTATGATATTTAATAACTTGGAACTTATTTTTTTTAAGCCTGGAGTCCTAGAGTACCAGAGTCCTTGCTGCCATTATACCTAAGGACTCCGGGTTCAAAAATTGATTGTTCTTCTGACCTATAAGTCTTGAATTTTTTCCGCATTAGTGGCCCATAAGTTTTTTTATATTTTTAAAGCTACTGGATACCAAAAACTAGAAAAAAGTAATCTTTTTGTGACTGTTAAATCCGGAGTACTTTTTGAGGACAAGATCATGAGGGCGGAGCACTTTGTCGGACTACATATCCATGATATATATATATATATATATATATATATATATATATATATATATATATATATATATATATATATATATATATATATATATATATATATATATATATATATATAAAGAGGTCCATCAAGGCCATTGAACATTTATTAGGTTATAATATAGCAAAAAAAAGTTCATTAAAAATAGGTCAACCTGGTACTCAAATGAAGTAAAATTATGTAAAAATTTCAAAAACATTAATCATTAAAAAAAAAATTTTTTGACTTTTCTCTTGATATAAATTTTATATCTTAGGAGATTTATTTTTAAAGTACTTATGAAAAGTAGATAATCATCGTTAAAGGAAATAAAAAATTATTTTATTTTTGTTTATAAATCATTTTCAAAAAATTAATTGAAAATTAAAATTAATAAAAATGTGTTTAAATAAATATTCATTTTTATTAATTAAACCTCTTTAAATTTTATTAAATTTTTAGTAAAAAGAAAAAAAACTTATTTTTAAGTAAAAATAAAGGTTTGACACAATTAAAAATCTAAAACATCACAATCATCATCAAATGTTTTTATGGAAATATCATCAAAAACTGACTAAAAATGCAATAGGAACCCTTCTATAGATCCACCTGTAAATACATATTATAAAATTATTTATGTTTTTTTTTGTACTTATTAATAATGAGTACACAAAAAACATTTATAATTAACTTAATATATTTAATAATAATAATTTATAATTAATTTAATATATTTAATAATAATATTATTAAATATTGTCAGCAACATTGTGTAATAAAAATGTAAGGACAAAAAAACAAAAATACATACAATATAAATTATACAATATCTTATTCTTTTACTTACATAATAGAAAAGGCAAATGAATAATTAAAAACTTCAAAGTTTACAAATATACACATTTATGTAAATCCAGCAAAAGTTTTAGCTAAAAACACAGTTGAAGACTCTTTTTTATTTCTCTATTATGATAAAATGAACCGGTATTATGTGTGGCCGAATGTATTATTAAGGTCTAGTTAAAACCGGAATTCTATTACTTAAAATCATAATTGAAAAAATTAACAAAAGTTAGATTTAGTATATTTAAAGAACATAAACAAGTGTACTTTGACTTTAATGATGTTCAAAATGCGTACTTTCGGTACTTTAGTGGTGTTGACAGTCCATCCCATCGGAGCAATTATGATATTAAAGATTATTCTGTCAAAAATATTAGGGAGATGATGTATTCTACCGTTATCCGAAAGTCGCAAATAAATACAAAGTTGCATGCTAATAGAATAAATTTGATTTTTATAAACTACGTTAACTTTACTTTTATACAATATAAATGTTTAAAAAACATTTAAATATATTTTATCAGTTAAGTGCTTCTCTTGTTATAAAATGAAGTATATAGAAAAAGCTAACTTTGATATTAAGAGCCAAAGCATGGGGAATAAAAGCATAACCAACACGTTGAGCAAATGCCTTTAGCGCCAGCTTTTTAGCGGTGTAAAAAGTGTAGAAAAGAATGCTCATATTAAACTAACAACTTTTTATTCAAACTGGGTACTTATATATAACGATTACTCAGGCGTCAAACCAACAGCTTGCCTAAAGATAGAAGTTATAAGCCAGATTCTTTGATTGACCAGCTATATTTATTTTGCTACGTGCAATTATCTACATGGTGCTGTAGTGGTATAAAGCATTTTGATAGCATAATGCGATCTTCTACCTTAACGGGTGCTTATATTGGAACTGGATTTAATGGATATTGTTTAGTTAATGATTTTTATTGTAATTCAATTTGATTGACGTTTTTCCCATATAAATAAAACGAAAAATTATATATAATAGTATGTTTCAAAGTCATTTCTTGTTGTACGTGAATATATATATATATATATATATATATATATATATATATATATATATATATATATATATATATATAACAAAAAAAAAAAAAAAAAAAAAAAAAGACTGCGAGCACACTAAACTTTTTCGTCGTAATATTTCGATAATAGTATAATATATAATAATATTATAAACTATTATTTGTTAAAAATAAATCTACTTTTACTGCATATATAAAAAATAAAAAGTTTCAAATACTTTAGTTCATAAAATTGTTTCAACTAAATATTAATAAACAATTTCTAAAATTCGTATCGACTTTTGACGAATACCAGATTTATCTGAAGTTAGTCAAAACGATCAACTTGGCATTACTGTTTGTTACATTTGGAAAAGTGATAAGACAGAGAAACTAAAGTGTTAACATTAAACTTATATATTATATTATGTAATAAACATTATTTGCAGGCTACGTTATAGGCATTTATTCAAAGAAAAATTATATTTAAAGTCATCCGTAACATATATCAATATTGCTTATATTTTGTAAATCCGTTCGCAGCATTTAAAACGCTAATTTCTCATTTTTGATTAACAATAAAAATCAAAATTTTAAATACTATTTGGATTACAAACGGATTTAATAAACCTTCCAAAGTTAAAAAAAGTTTTTAAATGTTTAAAAAACTAAAACAAATGACTATATAAGGACTACAAATATGTTTGAAAAGGTTCGTAAACCCTTAAAATAAAAACTGTTATTCAAAAATATTGGATAAAGCAAAAAAAAAAAAATGGCTTTGATTGCACCAGCAAACAATAAAATAAATTACTAAAATGCAAAAACTTGCTAATGGTCTTTGCGTGTATGGTTGCTTAAGTTAAATGCTTTAATTTGATTACTTAAGTTTATATGAGTCTCACTTTTATGAGTTTTATTTGAAATACTCAAATACTATATACCATTCAAACTTTAAAAAGTTTGTCCTTATTAACCACAATTATCGAACCAAGGTGTTAAATATAATAGCTGGCTTTATTTTAAGATCACTTTTTGTTCTTGATTAGGCTTACAGAGCAACAAGTGGATAAAATATTTTTTTCAGTACTCTTAGCTATATTAATATTCACCGATAAATTTTAAATTTCATAAAAAAATCTCTTAAAGTACAAAAATAACTATATAAAAATTGAAACTCCTAAATTTGAGAGGATTACAAATTTTATATTGTCATAATTTTAAACTCTAAGAGATTATTGCAAAAAGTTTAAAATTCATTGATGAAATAAATTTAGTTGAAAATAGTAAAAAAAAATATTTTATCAACTTTTTGCTCACACGTTTGGGGCAGTTGTGGCCAAAATTTTAAGACTTTTTTGTTTCAAGGTTCCAATCATCGTAATTTTTTGCAAAGCATCCATATTTGACATAAAAAAACGTATAAACGATTGGAGTTTGTTCCATGTCTAAATGTTAGCTATTTTAAACATCAAAAAATGCTGAATTCACCCATATATATATATATATATATATATATATATATATATATATATATATATATATATATATATATATATATATATATATATATATATATATATATATATATATATATATATATATATATATATATATATATATATATATATATATATCAAAAGTAAATATAAAAAAATAAAAGAAGGGTATATTCAATTTATAGTCGATTATTTAAGGAATAAAATAGGCATTTGACACATCTTCAGTCCGCAGATTTTTAGCTTTATGGCCTATTTTTTTTATTATTAGAAAGCACTCGGCAACTTATAAGGATTCGCCCCCCCCCCCCTTCCGTCATCATTTTATTCCTAAAATTATTTTATTCCCCTACTTTTATAGTTTTTCAAAAACTAATTATCTTTTTAAAATCATTTTTTATATATTCTTTTCAATGGTACATTTATTACCAAAACATAAATAGATAGAAAGCTAATATAGAACTAAAGTTAACAAGTTTTTTGTTATTTTTTGTTAGGAGGTACTTGGTTATAAGGAAATATTATGTTTATAATAAAAATAACTGTATACAACTACAACTATAATCAAATAATAACAAAAAAAAAATGGTTACTGTCACGAATGTTTAATATTTATAGAAGTGGTTTCGCTAAATTTTTTTTCATCTAACTTTTAAGTAACTTTCAGATATAGGGCAAAACAAAAACTTAAAATACTAAAACACTTTCGCCCTAATTGTGCAACCAATAATTTTTTTTTTTTTTTAACTATTTTTAATTAAATTTATAATTTCGGCAAATTTCATTCTTCGTTATTTTATTGTTTTAAATTTAATAGTTGACGACCCCGTAAACTTTACATAGTCGTAAACTTTACTACTATATAAATGTAAAATCTTTTTCAATTGTTCAATCTAACACTCATCTAAGCAAGAACCAACTATTTAACTTTAAAAACTCTTTTGCAATACTCGCATGTAAATTAGCTGCCAAGGTTTTGTTCTAATTCCTGACAGGCATGCATAAGTATGCTCACATTTTACGACTTGCTTCCACGCAATACCTTTTTAATTTCGTCTTTATAAATTGCCCACACACGCAGCAATATGCATTTTCTGGATGCGACTTTTTGATATCATTTAAATTAATTGATTCTCTGTGCTTTTATACTTTTTATTTTTAACTTTTGTTTTAGTTCCCCCAAGAAGACCAATCAAGAAGAATCGTCCTGTCACAGAGCACCGCGGAAGAGCGTTTAACTACACTGTTAAAAAAATATCGCGTTTTTTACGGAAATTTCCGGCAGCAGGTTTTCCAGAAAGTTTCCGTTATTTTACGGAAAAATCAAGTGTTAAAGGAAATTTCCGTATAAATTACGGAAAATATCTATCGTCGTATTAACAGATATTTCCGTATTTAAACGGATATTTCCGTTAACAAGTGACTGATTTTTCTGTAAAATAACAGAAAATTTCTGGAAAATCTGCTGCCGGAAATTTCCGTAGAAAGCGCAAAACTTACTTTACAAAAAACTCATTCTAAATATGTATTCCTTAAGAGCCGTTTTTTCTAAGAATCAGGCAAATTCCTGAAACTGTGGAAGTGACCTCGTCCAAATTGCTTGAATTTTTTATATATTGATCAGAATATAGAGAAAACCTGTTTGGGAAAAAAAAAAATTTCAAAAATGTTTCGTTAACTCGGAATCTGGTCTTAAATTTTTGAGATTTTTTTAAAAATTTTTAGAAATTTAGTTTTTGCCACCTTTGAACCCATTTTTTTGGCAACGCAAAAAGTTGCACATAGCTTTTGTAGTTAATATCAGACGTAACCCAAAAGCTCTCTCCAAAAAATATAAAAAAGTTGCGTGACACTGTGCGGTTGGCTAATTATCATAGTTCAAAAGTACAAAATCAATCAGTTTTGTCAATTTTTAATCAAAGTTAATTCTAGCGGCGAAGTGTTGCACACAGTTTTTCTTTTAGGATTTGAAATTATCAAAGGCATTGAGTCTAAAAATGCAAAGAAAGTTATGTGATACCTAAGGCCTATTAATATATTAAGGCTTGAAATTGGAAAAAAATGTTTTAGTATACTTACAAAATGAACCATTACGGCAGAGGCGCTTAGTTTTGTAAAAACGTAAACATATCCAACTGTCAATACAAAAAGGTCCTAACATAATAATAAAAAAAATTCGTGTGATTTTGTCACACGCATGATATAACATGAATTAAAAACTGAACAAAAATCTAACATCAAGATAACTATATTGCTAATTAAATAAAACATAAATCAAACATTTAAATGTTTTTCCATTTAAAAATTAGTTTTTCATTTATTAATTTACACACATTATCCACCACATCACACATAATTTCTACTCTGAGTCATTTACACACATTATCCACCACATCACACATAATTTCTACTCTGCTGCAGTAAGTTTCTCTAAGAATAATGATATGACTGTATTATAGTCTTCTTCGGATAATGAATAATCGCCACAACCACTTATTAGAAAAGGAGCATTTACTAAACAGATAATTTTATCAGTTTGGTTATTTATCTCCTCGGTAGTAACTGGCCAGCGAAAAGTATTCTTCTCTTGCCCGTTAATCATACAATTAACTCTGATCCCAGTTATAGATACCTAAAAGTATTAGCGCAACATTTAAAATAATATAATAAAGAGTTTATGATTTGTTTAATTTTGCTTACATTCAATAAAACTTGTAAAGTCTTATATAATGTCATTCTGAAATTATTTTTACATTTTATTTATATTCCTTTTATTTTAGAGCACTGTTTTGTAAAACAAAATAAAAACTTGAAACTAATATATACTTTGAATAATATTACCTCCACAATATATCCAATATTCCATTGTTTTTCATATGCAACAGCAACCCAATCATTCACTTTCCATACAAGACAAATTTCTTTTGCAAGATTGGCGATGTCTTCCTCATATTTATTATCATCTTCGTTGTCTCCTGTCAGATTAAAGTCATCATTTTCGCCATAAACTTCTTTGTTATCGTTAAACTGACTATTTTCATTATTTTCTGTTGTCGGTTCTACCAGCTTACCTTTTCTTTTCAGGTTACTAAATCTATAACAATATCAATTGTACATATTTTTAAACATATGTAAACAAACACACAAAATTATAACTTTCACCTAAATTTTAATTTCATATTTGTAAAAGAACTATTTAACAGTCAGAAACATAATCTAATTTGCAAAAGTTTTGATAGCAACAATGCCTAACTTGAAAATAAAGATCTTATCTGTTGGCTAGTTACATATTGATCAGGCGGAAGTTCTCTCCTCAGCTGCATGTGAACCTGCTCAGGGCTCATTTTATTACCTGATTCTTCTCCACGAATAAAGTATTTATACAACAGTTCTTTCTGCTGATTTAAAAATCTAAAAGAACTTTGAACTGGTAATGCCCAACCTTGCAATAGAAAAATGTTCATGCAATGTGGTTTGTCTTTTACGGAAGCACTGTTAGAGGATGAAGAAATTGGCATATTTAGTTGTGAAGTAATTTTCATCTTATGAACAAACGAGTTGCGAACTTTATCCAATGATGTTAATGATTTAGCATGTATATAGCATGTGTTCTTCTAACTCAGCATCGCTTTCAAATGATAAAGTACAATTCATTTCAGTGCAAAACCTTAATGAATATAATTGCCTGTCACTTCTTTTCTGTTTTTTCCTAAGTGACTTGTTACGCTTAATTGAATTATCTGTTTTGCTATATGGCAACAACAACTTTAATCGAGGGTTGAATTCCTTGAATGTTCAATTCCCTCACCGATATTGAAATAACGCCACATCTTCTTACTTTTCTCACCAAACTCAAATGAGTGATAGTTGCTAATGTTCTTAATCTTTGGTCCAGTAACTACAGTTTTATCATTGCTAATTTGAGCAACCGCTACTTTTGCATCTTTAGCGCCAAAAATATAATGCATAGCCTTGTGTATATCTTCAGCAGTCAAAAGATTATTACCAGAGTCAACGTAACTCCTTAAAATTGTCTTTACAACTGCACTCTCCCTGTCACATTGATCTTTTCCACAACAGGGTTCATTATAATCATATCTCAGCAACTTTATATCTCTCTCTTTGCATACATTGTAGATTGCTTCAGCTGAAAGATTTCCCTGATAGCAGCCGGCATTATCAGATTTGGTAAACATTTCCTTGATATGCGGTTGATCAATTCTGAATTGGTCTAAAACTGCAGTGGCTAACGAAACAACATCACCTATTCCCTGATCACACCTACACAGTAAATAAAATACCCGTTATATTTTTAAAAAACATAACGGGAGTTTTCCTCGCACATAACGGGTAATTGCCGTTATGTTTAATACTTAACATGTATGAAAATAACATAACGGTTTTAGCGTTATGTTTAGTCATAGCAAAATTGCCTTAAACATAACGGTTACATAACGCTAATTTACCGTTATGTGCGAGGAAAACTCCCGTTATATAACGGGTAATTACCCTTTATGTTACCGTTATGTTGAAAACCTAACATAACGGGTAATTACCCGTTATGTTACCGTTATGTAAAATGAAAATTATCTTTTTAAAGAAACGCATATTCTGCATGACTATTCGCACAAAGTACTTAACAAAAAAACATTTTTTTGTCAATAAAAGTTGTAATAAGAAAATAAAAATTATACATAAAATATATTTCATATCATAATATATTTATATTATACTATTTATAATAATCATGAAAATTATTTACAAAATAATTGAATAAATTATTTACAAAATAATTGAATAAATTATTTACAAAACAATTGAATAAATTATTTACAAAATAATTGAATAAAATAACTTATTAAAATTTATAAATTCAAAAGTAATTTGCATTGCTTTGAAAAGATTGCAGAAGAAAAATGCATTTTTTAGATAATAAAGCCAATTGCAAAAAGTCTCAAATATCTTGCTAACATCCCAGAAGCCGCCCAAAACAAGAATATGTTAAATCTAGCAAATAGTAAACAAATGTACTGATCAAGGGTTGAACATCCATTTCGATACCTCTTCAACTCCTTACATCATATTCTGTTTTATTAAAGATAACTTGTGGACCATATAAACTTTGGCATAAGTATTCATGTAGTGAATCACACTAAAATTTTATAAATAAAAAATAATTATCACAATCATAAAATAAAAAATTATTATTAATACATAAAATGGAAAAAAAGAAAAAAGAATGTGAACCATTGCAATACAAAATGTGCTTACCATTAGTTAAAATGTCAGCAATATTACAAGCAATAACAATTTTCTTTCCCTAAGAAATTTGACAACAACAGCCTTTATTATTTTCAACTATTAACTATTGAAGAAATAAGTAAAGCAGTTATTATTAGTTTATACTACTTTAATTTTACAAATAGTATATTTAACATTTTTTAATACTTGCAATACAAAATTAATGTTAAAAACAGTAATAATAAACAGACAGGTCAGACGGTAAGAGGTAAACACCATTATTACACAAGTATTAAACAACATTATTAAACAACATTATTTGGCACAATTTAATTAGTTTAATAATACTACACTAATTTATATTATATTACTAGAAAAAATTTATTATAAAATTATCATATAATATATTTCTTCAGAATTTCAACTTAACAATAAATAATTTTTTCTTTCAAAATAATTTCAAATATTAAAGACTTAGTCTATTTCAGGGAACTTATTGGTCAATTTACGGACCGAAAATTGGCACAATATACAGTGAATTAAAAATTTGAAATTTTTAGGTATGCATCTTCAATACAAGAAGTATAAATGCAGCATAAACAAATTTAATGTTTTTTCCATTTTTCCGATTTCCAAATAATCCCTCAAACTAACCTTGAACATTTTTATGATAATAAAAGTTTAATTAAACAAAAAAAATTCATGCAGTTTAATACCTTAATATATTTATATTAAATCATTTTTCATAACCAAGAAAATAATTAAACAAATTAACTTTGGTAAAAATTAACATTAATAAAGTCAAAAGTACTTTGCATTGCTATGAAAAGACTGCAGAACTAAAATGAATTTTTTAAATAATAAAACTTATTGCCCAAATCCACAAATATCTTGGAAACATCCCAGAAGCTGCCCAAAACAAGGATACGTTAAATCTAACAAATAAACAGCCATCAAAACGACATTATATATATTATAATTATATATATATATATATATATATATATATATATATATATATATATATATATATATATATATTATACATATGATATATATATATATATTTAATATATATATACATATATATATATATATATATATATATATATATATATATATATATATATATATATATATATATTATACATATGATATATATATATATTTAATATATATATACATATATATATATATATATATATATATATATATATATATATATATATATATATATATATATATATATATATATATATATATATATATATATGTATATATTTAGATATATATATATATATATATATATATATATATATATATATATATATATATATATATATATATGTATATATTTATATATATATATATATATATATATATATATATATATATATATATATATATATATATATATATATATATTAACAAATGCCATGACATTTATTGTGAGCAATCAAAATATACCAATCAGTTATGGGCTTCTGAACCAAATATACAATAAATATATATTAATTAACAACCAAAATGCTGTTTTATAGTTAAGTTACTTAGTAAGTGGTAAATACCGTACGTAAATAAATAAGTAAATCAAAATAGTAGAGACATTATAAACAAAAAATCTAATTGCAAAAATCCTTTAGATTCGCGCCATTTTGTAAACATAACGGTTAAACATAACGCTTTACAAATATCATACAAATAGTTTTGGGCATAAAGCTTTAAACTTAACATAACGCTAACATAACGGTGAACATAACGCCAAAATTTTCAATTACCGTTATGTAACCGTTATTTTAGCGTTATGTTTTTTGCTGTGTATACATTGAAGTAAAGTAAACACGTTTGAATAACTTTCCTGCTATTTTTATGAAGAATATATCCACGTGTAAACTCATTCCTTTCTTGCCAAAATACTCTCTTTGGCCCTCTCTGTATTGAACCGGAAGAATTTTTTAACAAAAATCTTTAAGCCAGAAAGCAGTTTCATCGTTTAATTGCTTAAAAGCTTCGATTTTTGCCTTTTTCTGTTGAGAATCAGGTGTTTTATGTAGTTGAATACATCCTTTACAGCAATTTCCAAATCATAAATAGAATCAGCATCGTCAGAATTTTGAGTTGTTAGTTCTTTGATCATCTCGATAGCTTTGCTAAAATCATAGCAATCGGCACATATCACTTCTGATATCTCTGTGTTGGATTGAAGATTTTTTTCAGATGGATCTGATAAGGCATGTTTTGAGCTATGAGAAGAAATGTTTGAGTCATTGACACTACAATTGATTTGATAACTTGTTTTCAAATACCTTTTTCCTTTTTCAAGGGCAGCTTCGAGAGATTTAGAACTAAATCTTTGTGCCAATTTTTGTAATGTTTGAAAACCATTCATGCCTGAAGCTGTAACATCATCTAATCCAGCTAAGCTTTTTCGACGTGAAGGTTTTATTGCATGCAATACTTTCCACAAACTTGAATCAGATAATGGTATATAATTGTTTTCACTACAACTTTTTCGATAGAACATGATAGCGTGGCTATATTTTGCCGTCAGTATTGCATGCACTATCTTTTGTTCTTCACCGCTGTCGTATTTTAATTTGGTTATTCCATAAGCAACATCATGCAAAATACCGCTTGTAAATATAAAGTCTAAGAAATGTTCACACTTTGTTTGATCAAGACTAGATCGGACGAATACTTTCTTCTCTGGGATTTCACCGGGATCAAATTCTTCATCTGGAGTAGCAGGTGTCACATATGTTTGTTCTTGTTGTGTTTGTGTTTCTGTACATAAATTGGTGTTTTCGTTGACTCTAGATAAAGCAGTTTCTTGCTTTAAATGGGTAAAACACAGCATTGCACCAACTGAAAATACTTCATTGTATCGCTTTGACATTGATATGACGACATGTATTGGTGACGCCCTTAAAGCGGGAGATTTTTTTCCTTTTATATTTAGATGGTGAGGATGAAAGGATGTTTTTGGAGGACTCCATACAATACCAAACGTGTACCGGAGAAAAGCACATACTTGTTCATCCTTTTCAAGATTTCTTTTAAGTCTATTTGCAATAAGTCCATTTTCTTCCCAAATATTATTATCGTTTAATCGCATGACCTAAAAACAATTTTTTAAACAATTATTAAGTGTGTCATTTAAAGCATTGTTTATAATCTGACTCTTCACGAAAAATGTTTACAAGTTTGAAATACATTGTTGTTATTATTAAAATACAATATTGCAAGAGTGAGATTAATTTAGTGATTATTTATTAAAAGAGTGAGGAATTAATTAAAAGAGCAATTTTTTTTTGTTTAAAGAACTTTGTCTCAAAATCTTATTGCAGAGAAGTTATAAAGTATGTAATTATAAAAATTATATTACAGTTTGCGTAAATTTAAAATACATAATTACCTTTAAGTTGATGAGGTGTTTCTTAACATCAACATCTCCCAGCTGATGAATGTAGAACGTTTTGTTTATAATTTTATGTTTTTTGAATGATCCACAATTTCCTTTTGAAAAGCAACAACAGCTTTCATAAAAATATTTGTTTTGTTCCATACTCAACTAAAAACAAGTTCTATTTATGCAGTACCTATTTCTCAATAGCAATGATAAAATATCTACTCTATTTATGCAAATTTTAAAGATCGTTAAAATAAAGTTAAGACATTTTTATGGTAAAGTAAACAACCGCCCACTAACTTGTTTCTCCACAATCGTGATATCAGCGATTCTTCTTCCATTCGATCGCCACAAGTTATTTGGTTATGACGTAAATTTAAATAAATCACTTCTGATCATGTATTGTTTTTTATTATTATTTATTTCAATTGTTATGATTTCTATATCATAGTCAGAAACGCTTAAATTTTTTCTTAACATTACGTGCAATGTTTTGTGTAATGCTAATTGCTAATTTTGGATGATAGAAATTTTATTGTGAGCGAAAACCTTATCTGTGTGTCAAAAAAAATATCTCTTCGTACTTAATCATTTTTAACAATTTGTACCTTTATTTTTAACTTAATATCTAAAGATCACATGAGTTTTTTTTTAAACTATGTTAGGGTCATCTTATATTGACCATTTAACATGATTATATTTTTACAAAACTTAGCGCCTCTGCCGTAATAGCTCATTTTGTAAGTATACTATAACATTTTTTTCCAATTTTAAGCCTTAATATATTAATAGGCCTTAGGTATCACATAACTTTCTTTGCATTTTTAGACTCAATACCTTTGATAATTTCAAATCCTAAAAGAAAAATTGTGTGCAACACTTCGCCGCTAGAATTAACTCCGATTAAAAATTGACAAAACTGATTGATTTTGTATTTTTGAACTATGATAATTAGCCAACCGCACAGTGTCACGCAACTTTTTTATATTTTTTGGAGAGAGCTTTTGGGTTACGTCTGATATTAACTACAAAAGCTATGTGCAACTTTTTGCCTTGCCAAAAAAATGGGTTCAAAGGTGGCAAAAACTAAATTTCTAAAAATTTTTAAAAAAATCTCAAAAATTTAAGCCCAGATTCCGAGTGAACGAAACATTTTTGAAATTTTTTTTTTTCCCAAACAGGTTTTTTCTATATTCTGATCAATATATAAAAAATTCAAGCAATTTGGAGGAGGTCACTTCCATTGACTGCCTGATTCTTACAAAAAATGACTCTTAAACTATAAAAAAAAAAAATTACAAAAAAAATTAATGACAAATATATTCAGCAATTATTAATGACATAAATTGTTGCACTAAATATTGCATAAAAAAAATTAAATAAAAATTTATATATATAAATATATAATACATATAAATATTATATTTATGCTTTTAGAGCAAATAGCTGTAATTTTTCTTTCTTTTTGCGTTTTTTCTCGCATTCTCTTGATTATAGTCAAACATATACCTAAAACACAAAATAAATTACATAATCATGACATAGATTATAAATTAAAATCTGTGGAATTAAGAAAGATAAGCATAAATTGTGAGCCTTATTTTACTTTTTGCATAAACTTATCCTTTCTTTTTAAATTTTTTTAAGCTTACATATTATTGCATAACTTTTGCACAAACATTTTATATGCTTATAATATAAACTTCAAATGCTTTGAAAAATTTCTTTTTACCTTTGAATCAACATCAGTGGTCTATGATCATATCTTGTTTTCTTGATATAATGGACCATAAATAAATTCATCAAATGGTAGACCACGAGCTAAACTATCAGTTTAAAAATAACAATAAAAACATTAATATAATATAATAAAAATTAGTTTGAAAACAAGAAATATATAGCTTGTTTTAAGAAATAAATTTCCCATCCAGCAATTTATTTCTTAAAACAAGAAATAAATTTTTTAAACTATAAACACTAGATAAACAATATTGCTGTAAATCTTAAAACAAGAAAAAAAAACTTCTTACACTGTAATTTATTTCTTAAAATAAGAAATATATTTCTTGTTTTAAGAAAAAAATTAGGGATAGGAAATTTATTTCTTAAAACAAGATAAATATTTCTCTTTTAAGAACTGTCTTAAACTATGGACTAAGATTTAGGATTTTGCTGAGAAGAAATGATACTTGTAATATTTTTCATCAATTAAATGCTTATTGTTCAAGATTTATTAGTTAAATCTTATGGATGACATGGCATTAATTAGAAACTGTTTTTTTTTTAATTTTTTTTTCCACATTACTTTGTCAGAACTTCAATGAAGAAAAAATATTTTTTTCTAAAAAAAATAAATATATTTTTACCTCTTTTTCTTTACGTATGAATGTATCTACATACAGAGTATGTAATGACTCCTAATCAGTACAACTTGCTCATTTCCATTTAACTCAAATTGATTTCATAGGTGATCATATATCCTGCAATTGAAGTGCCTGCAGATGGTTTCAGAAAATAGAGAGTGTGATCCCACATATATTGCTATCAGATTTAGAAAACATTGTTTTATTTTACGTTGCAGATTTAAATATATTTTAAGATATCGTTAAAAACATTTCATACTCTTAACTTTTTGCTTAATAAAATTATGTTTAACTATAAATACTAATATATAAATAACTGTGCAACTTAATTAAATTTTTCTCATAAAATATCTAAAACACTAAAATATTAAATAAGAAAGAAAACTAAGACGCAATTTTGAGATAACAAGTAAGACATTCCCAAATTTTATTTATATAAAAAAACATAGTTCATACACACAAACATATAGTATATGTGTGTATAAGCTATGTTTTTTTTATATAAATACATATGTTATATATATATATATATATATATATATATATATATATATATATATATATATCATATGTGTATATATATATATATATTATATGTGTGTGTATATATATATATATATATATATATATATATATATATACATATATATATATATATATATATATATATATATATATATATATATATATATATATTTATATACAAAAGGTTAGCAAACTATTTTCCATTTGCGTTATTTAAAAAAAGAAGTTGAAAAAGAAAGAAGAATGAAAATAAATTTATCTTTCCCTATATGTATTATCAATTCCCTTGCGAGTTCTCCCTAAATCAGTCTATGTATCGCCTTGCCGCTAAATCAGTGTGATATCATAGCGCTAAAATATGCATCACTATGTTATATACTTATATATATATATATGTATATACTTTATATATGTATAGCTTTAGGCCTTTTTATATATATGTATAACTTTAGGCCTTCATTTTTTATTTATTTGTTAGGAATTACCATTTTTATTTTTAATCCATACTATAGAGCATCACTTGATTCTATAGTATCAACAATAACTTACTGTATATATAGTCTTTTTACAATGTTGGGTTGCTAGAAATAAGGTTTACATTCAAAATCTTTTAGTGAACTGATCAAAACTGTATGTTTTGTATTTAAATTGTATGTAAAATTCTGATTTAGCTTTACATACAATTTTCAAAATCTTTTGATGAACTGATAAAAAAATTTCTGAAAACAATCAGAAACAATAAAGAAAAATGATAGCAGATGTATTTATTTTATATAGAATTTTACTATCCTGCACGAATATTATAAAAAAATAAATTTAATAATGTATTCTAATCATAGTTGTAATTTCTGAGGTAATCTTTATAAATTTGTTTTTAAATTTATTTTTTTAATGTTCACTTGTAGATAACCTAAAAATGTTATTTATTAAGTTATTGTAATTAAATAAGAATAAAAATGTAAATTGTTATATAAAGTTTTTAAAACAATTTGAAATTCATTGGTCATATTATAAAGAAGCACAAGTGCTTCTTTATAATATGACCAATGAATTTCAAATTGTTTTAAAAACTTTAAAACTTTTAAAGTAGTGCAATTTGAAAATTTACTATTTTTAAGCTACATATTTTAACATGTGAACTTTTCCCCTAGCTTTGAAATGATCCATTTTATATATAACATGTTATGTGAGTGCACTTACATAAACTTAAAATCACTCAAAATTGAACTTAGAATGCACAAGTCTTGTGTCAGGAATCCTACTAAACATAATCTCGTTCTAAGCAATCAAGAGAACAAATAATGCTCATGTAATTTTAAAATTAAAAAGATTATTAGTAAAATGCTTTGTGAAATTTCTTCGCCTTGCAGGTGAAACTTTAGAACTTCTTTTTGGAGATAATAATCTTTTTAATTTTAAAATTACATGAGCATTATTTGGTCTCTTGATTGCTTAGAACGAGATTATGTTTAGTAGGATTCCTGACACAAAATGTGTACACAAAAATAACTTTTAAAATTTTTCACTAATGGCAGTTATATCTATTTTCAGTTTTTAATACAACGGAAATTTCCGTATTTGAAAATTTAGCTACAAATACGGAAAATTTCCGTACATTATGGATGGATACATCGATAATGTACATACGGAATGATACATCCATAATGGATGTATCATTCCATAATGGATGTAAATGATACATCCATAATGGACATACGGAATAAAAATAAAAATAAATATTTCCAGAGTTTTATTTGTTAAAAGTCTACCGCGACATCAAATACTAAAACTTTTATGAATTAAATGCGCTTCAAAGGAATCGCCAAAGTCTGTAGATTGCGACGTATAATTTAAAGACTCCGAGTAACGGAGAAGGCGAGCTTCGGCTAAAACAATAACGTTAGTTTTTCTCGGTATGCATTCATTATTTATTTTTAATCAAAAAAACTTGGTTCAAACCTTTTTTTTTAACATTATCTTTAATATGAACACAACATGTGTTGGGAGTTTGGGATCCCTTTAAGCACAACTGGTCCAGTATATAACAAAAACTGACGAAATTTAGTGGCCTTCCAACGATCCAACTCATGTAAAGATCGTGGCTTGCGACTAAATTCTTTTGGTATCATCAACCGAAGAATACACAAACGCTCAGATAGTTGAGTGGTCAGATTTGCAGAAAGTCTACTTTTCAAAGGTCCTTTTTTCCAAATAGTTAAAAGCCGGCGCATCACTCCAAGACACACAAGTTGCATGTAGTCAAGATTAAATCTGCTAACCAATCCAAAATTCAGTTCTTTTAATGGACCGGCTGCATGATGATGTGCAGGATCAAACATTTTGTCAAAAGATAAATCTGTACGCAACAGTGCATTAACTTCCGGTAAAATGACTTTTCTGTCAACACATTCACCTTTCTGGATGCAGCGCTCACATGAATTATAACCTGAATGTGATTTAATGCATTTTAAAAAAGCTCGAGCTGGTGCGTCACAAACAAAATTTGAAATTGTAACATGGAACAAACGATTTTCAATTAAAATACCTTATTTTTTAAGAATTTTTATTTCAGAAATAAAGTTATTTAAAAATTCTCTAACACTTGCAGGCTTTTTATTACCACCATAGATACCAATAGAAAATGGTTTCTCACTAGTAGAACCTTTCACAATTCCAAGTATAGCCCAGAATTGATAAGTAGAGCTTTTGTAAATAGGTAAACCATCAATTTTAATCAGAAGAGGTATAGAGCCATTTAACAAACAATTCAATTCTTTTGCATGGAACAATTTCACTAAGTTCTCTTTGACCCCAACATGGTAATATTGACTACCATCTTCTAAATGATTTATTTTTCCTGGAGTCTTTAATATAGTGCAGGCATCAAGAGGCAAGAATTTGTGAAAAGGATGAAGAAGTTGCAACAATTGTGAAAAATGAGTCACTGGTATGTTACAATTTATTGCCCATTCTCTCAAAAGTGGTATTAACTGTTCATCTGACACATCATCATCGGAAGATTTGGGTTCGGAAGAAAAAATATCATCTTCTGAACTGCACTTGTTGCATCAACCATCAAGTTGTCCGATTTCACTAACTCTTCCATATAAACTGGATCAAAAGGTATAGTCTCACTATCTACAGTATCTACAATAACATTATGACTACTATCAAGGCTTTCTTCGAGATACATATCAACAATTTTCTTAACATCATGACGCCTTTTTCAATAAGATTTTTCTTTAGGTATCAAAAAAGACATTGTTAAAACTATTGAATGACTTTTTATTCCTGAATATAGAGAAATTGTATATTAAAGATTATAAATAATAAGTTTTCATTATTTGAAATTAAATTTATACTATATTATATCATTATATATCATTATATATATATATATATATATATATATATATATATATATATATATATATATATATATATATATATATATATATATATATATAGATATACATATATATATATATATATATATATATATATATATATATATATATATATATATATATATATATATATATATATATATATATATATATATATATATATAACAACAATTTATTTTCCATTTAAAATTATTTTTATAATAATAAGGTAAATAATAATAAACAATAATAATAATTTGTTCTTATTACATTTTAATAAATCATATTATTTTAAATTGATTTTTGTTATAATAAATTATAGTATTTTTGGGGTTTTCATTGTAACATTTTGAAAAAAATGTTACAATGTGTACAACAAATGTGTACAGTACAAATAGTGCCTACTATAAGTTATACTATAAGTGTAAGTGCCTACAATAATAATAAACTATAGTACTTCTATTAGTAGGCACTTCTACATTTATTTCAAAATGTTACAATAAAAATAAAAATAAATACTATAAGTTAGACATAAATGTTAACATTAAAAAAATATAAAAAACTTATTGCTACATTACTTAAAAAGTTTTTAAATTTTTAAACCATAAATCAAATAATTTTTTTTCAGATAACTTTCGGCGTTTTTTTTTTTAACTTTTTTAAGAATTGCATTACTGTTTCCAATACATCCGTGCTTTGACCTTAAGTGACAATAAACAAGACCGTATATTATAATAAATTCTTAACTTCCTGAATCTTTAAAGCAAATTAAATTTCTGTCTGCTAAGTCTTGAATTTTCAAGACTGTTTTGTCTTGAAAATTGATGAGTGCTATAAAAAAGTAGATATTTTTTTAAAGTTGCCTTTTTATAGGCAACTTTATTCTTAATCACATAACTAAAAATAAAACTTTCAAACTATTATTTAGTTACGGCTGTACTTTTTGCAATAACGAAAAAATAATTTTTTTGATTTTAGTGCTCGCTTGCGCGCATAGTAAAACATAAACCTCAAACTCAGATGTTGAAGTGCCTACTTATAGACATTAAACATACAAAACACACCTAAAGTAACCTTTTTAAAAATCATAATTTGCAGGTAATAATACAAGAGAAAATAAAAATAAGAAAACAAACCAAAAAATATGGATAATAATTATAATAATACAAAGAAGTTATAAAATAAATATTAATGATAATTTTTTAAAATTGATTTTAATTTAGATAAAGAAAAAATGACAAAGGAGTTTGAAGTTGGAGTTTATTGAAACCATATATATACAGTCATTCTGGGTAACTTTGAATTTGCGGGTAACATTGAACTAAACGTGTAAATGTTTTTAAATTTTTTTTTCTTTGTTATTTTCTTTGCCTGTTGCTTTAACAAAGAATAATATGATGAATTATCTTTTTTTACAAAAGTTTGACCAAAAAAAAATTAAATTTTATTTCTCAAAAATAATGTTTTCCTCCATTTCCAGTTACACAGTCGAATGTGGTGATAACATCGTGTGTTTTCAATTTAGAATATTTGGTATTATATTGTAATTATCTGAATAGATTTTTAAGTATTTTATTGAATTATTTTTCGAACTTTAATACAAACTCAAAATAATAGGATTTAACATGTTTTTTGCTACAAAAAGGATATTTATTTCCACTTAGCTAAAATATAACCAAATTCAAGGTAACTTTAGACAATCAATATTTTCCAAAAATGCTTTTTTTGCTGTCTAAGTAACATTGCAATAATACATAATAAATAATAGGCATCCTTTTATTATAGTATTTTTATTATATAATGATATATGATATTATAAATATCAAAAATTATAATATGTATTACTATTATATTATATTAATTTTTGATATTTATGGCTATCTTCATAGATTTAATAATATATTTTATTAATAGCAAATATGCAATTAATTAAATAATTTTCATTAATAACATAAATCATCTTTATATTTTTTACATTCATAAAATGCCAAGAAAATGTTCGACAACTCATCCTGGCACAAGAAAATATGGCACTAAATCTAATTACACCAATTCTACACTTCAAGAGGCTTTAGCCAAAATTAAATTAGAAAAAATGTTGATTGGTGAAGCTTCTAAAATTTATAAAGTACCTAAAGCAACATTATTTTATAAGCTAAAAAGTAAACACTCTAAATCAGTAGGGCGCCCTATTGCCCTTAGCCTTGATGAGGAACTTTGTTTTGAAAATCACTTACTTTATTTAAGTGACAAAGGTATACCAATTGGAATTAATGATTTTAAAAGTATTGTCAAAATCTATCTGGATGATAGTGGAAAAAATATACAACAGTTTAAAGATAACCGACCAGGTTGGGAGTGGTGTAAACTTTATCTTGACAGGCATCCATCATTAAAAGAAAAAGTATCTCATTGTATTTCAAGGAAACGTGCACAGATTAATTATTGTCAAATAAAGTTTTTTTTTCAAAATCTAGAGAAGGAATTAAATAGAGTAACGCCAGATAACATTTACAATATGGATGAAACAGGGTTTCATGATGACCCTGGAAAAAAAAAACTTATTTTTCGTCGATGCTTTTGCCATCCAGAACTTATAAGAAACACAACAAAAACTTGTTACACTGTTGTTTTTTGTGGAAATGCCTCAGGAAAACTAATTCCACCATTTTTCATTGTTAAAGGAAAACACAGTTGGTCTGACTGGCTTTTCAAAATTTGTTTACGCAGCTCATTAAATCTGCTCTTAATGTTGGTAAAGAAAATCTAGAACATAATCTCCAAGCAGGATTTAAGGCTACTAGCATATATCCATTTGTACCAGAACATGTTCTCTCCAAATTACCCAGTTTTACAAATATAGATATTCAACTCAATATTGGAGAATCGTTTAGGAATTATGTTGATGATATTCATCTTAATTATGAAGTAAGCAAAAAATTTAAGTTACCAATAACAGCAGGGAAAAGTGTATCAGCCACTGAGGTAGAAGCATACTATAAGGAAAGAGACAATAAAAAAAATGTCAAGATAATATTCGAGCAAAGAAAAGAGGAAGACCACTTGGATCAAATAATATGGTTATGAAAATAAACAAAAAACTTAATATTTTACAAAGTTCAAGCATCGTAAATGTTAATCAAGTTATTGAAGACAATGAACAAGTTTTACCTGTATCTCAAAATGATGCAGTTTTTTCATTGGAGCAAATAAACAATCACTATGTACATGTTTTCCTTGATCATGATTATTTTGTAAAAGAGTTAGTTGTAACTCGAGATTAAAAGAATGAAACACTGTAATATTTAGTTTTATAGTCAATAGTGTTTATTTGTGGAGAATAATATAAAAATAATGCCTTAATTATTTTTTCTTTTATAACCTTAAAAATTATTTTGTGAATATTTTATTGAAAAACTTGTTTGTTTATTTTCGAAATATTTTATTGAAAAACTTGTTTGTTTATTCTCGAAATAGTTTAACTAGATTTTTTAAAAAATTAATTTAAACTAATACAAAGAAATTTAAACAACTTTTTAGATTTAAAAGATTAAAATTGACATTCAGTTTAATAGTGTTCAAAGTTACCCGAAATGCCAGGGTTATTGTTAACTTTGAACGCCTACTTGAACATTGTTTTTTTACATAATATCTAGCAAATTTAAAAAAATGATAACAAACTAGAAAAAAGAGATCATCAGAACACCCTTTATGTAAAAATATTTGTTATCTAGTTAGTAAAACAATTTTTGTAGAGATAAACTTAGCGCAAACCGTTCAAAGTTACCCGTAACGACTGTATGGTTATAAAAGTCGTCTAGGCCAGCCCAAAAAACTAAAAGCGGGTCCGGCCCGACTTTAGATTTTGTTTATTTTACACAAATTCTTTATTTTAGCAAAAGGTTTTAACGTTTACTTAACTTTTTATTAATAAAGAAAAAAAAAATTTTCAAAAAATTTATAAGGAAGTAATTAGTAAAAAAATTCTCGAGATAGTTACTGAAACCGATACGTAGGTATGCGGGTTTTAGATAAAAAACACAAAATATATTTTGCATTATCGAGGAAGTTTGGAAACCAATGAAAGGAAGAAATTTGTTTATATATAAGTAAGAAAAAATGGAGCATACCTTTCACGCTATGCCGTACTTGGAGAAAATGCTTAGTATTGACGAGGTACTTTAATGTTTTGCAATTGTCGATGAATATATATATATATATATATATATATATATATATATATATATATATATATATATATATATATATATATACACCTTGTACAAAAAGTTTAAACGCACTTGTTTTTTTAAAAGTTAAGGTATGTTTAAAGTGATACAAAGAGAAAACATGAGGCAGGGTCCAGGTTTTTTTTTTTTAATATTCTTAGTCGATTATTAATTAAGAAAAAAACACAACTTTGAATAAGAAAAACACAATCTTTTCTGAAATTAAACAACAAACTCAAGTAATCAAAAGATTACTTAGAAGAAAGTGCAATAAAGTTTAAACGCGCATATAACTTCTTTTAATCGAAATATATTAATACGGAATTTAACCCCCGTTGTTTTTAATACATGCTTGTATTCGCCTAGGCATTGATTCGATTAAGTTTTCAATCATCTTGATTGGTATTTCAAGCCACAGTTTGGTCAGTTCTTGTTTGAGCATTTCGTGACTAGTTATTTGCTTTTTTGTTAGTTGATAATCCATCCAGCTCCATAAATTTTCAATTGGGTTTAAGTCTGGTGATCGTGCTGGCCAAAGCATAAGTTGAATATTACTTTTAAGGAAATAATCAGTGATTGAATGCGCTGTATGGCATGGAGCATTGTCTTGTTGAAATAACCAGTTTTGATCAGCCTGGAACAAATCGCGACTAGGGATAAGCGCGTTTTCCAAAATGTCACGATAC